GGGGACAGTGACTTGGTGTGTGAGCTCGGTTCTCTGTTTGCTGGTCTTGCAGGGCAGCTGAGGATGTAGCTGGTGTTTCTGGTGAGATTATGTCTGTCTGGTCAGGTGGGTGTGGGTGCAGGGAATGTTCTCACTGGTCAGTGGGCTGGGCGTTGTCTGTGTGCGTTATCAGTTGCCAGGTGTTCTGGCCAAGGGTGCCTGTGTTGTCAGTCACTGCGTGGGTGGCATGGAAACTCTTACCAATGCTCCTGACCCAAATGGCTCTGTGGGGGTGGTTGGAGCAGGTACAAGCCTCCAGTTATGGGGGGGGGCGATGTGGGAGGAAAGGCAGGGGGGATGCCACCAGTCCACAGGTGCCCACTTGGAGGGGGGTGCCCCTGACTGCTACAATGTGCCATAGGGAAGGGTGTGCTGCTAGTCCTCAGGCCCCCAGCGCAGGTGGCTGGAGGGAGTAGGAGGTGCCACTGGACTGCAGGCCCCGGTGAGGATGGCTGGGCATAGAAGCATGCGGGCACCTCCACCTACTGGGTCAGGGAGGGGAGGGAGGGGAGTGATGCTCACCTGGTGGTAGGAGTGGGTGACAGGCGGGCTAGCTCACAAGCACACATGCATGCAATCAGGTGGGCGGGAAAGGTGGGGTGGGCAGCTGAAGCCATTCTGTAATGGCCTGCTGGTGATCAGCAGGGTCGGTAGGCAAGAAGGGTGAAGCCAGTGGTCGGGTCCGCACTGGAGCAGCCTGCCAGTGCTTGGTGTGGTTGGGCAACGGGAAAGATGGGGCAGAAGTCGAGCCAGCACCACCTGCCAGCACTTAGTGCAGTCAGGCAGGCAGGAAAGGAAGAGCAGGCGGCCAAGTCTGAGCCGGAGCAGACTGCCAGTGCTCAGCTTGATTGGGCAGGTGGGAAAGGCGGAGCAGGCTGCTTAAGCTACACTGGAGTGGCCTTCTGGCACTCGGCAGGATTGGTGAGAGAATAGGGAGGGGTGAGTAGTCCATTCCGTGCATGAGTGGCCTGCCAGCACTCGGCACTGTTGGGCAGATCAGAAAGGCGGGGCAGGGGGCCAAAGCCAATCCAGCACGGCCTGCTGCCACTCAGCTTGATGGGGCAGCCGGGATATGTGGGCAGGAGGCTGAAGCTGTGTCAGAGAAGCCTGCCAGTGTATGGCATGGTCAGGCAGGCAGGAAAGGCAGGTCAGGAAGCCGGATAGGGTAGGAAGGAGAAGAGACTCGTACCATGGGCCATGGTGGTCTGGGTTGCAGGGATGGGAAGGTTTGTGCTGCTGTTCACCTTGTTTCACTCCGGGTGTGTCTTCTCAGTTTCTCTGTGTCCTGATGGGAATTCTGTGAAGTTGCCTCCTGTGCTCCTCACCCAGGATTGCTGCTATCTTTGTCTCAAGTTGGCCACGTTGTGCCAGGCCGGTTGGCTAGGCATCTCTACTCCATCCCTTCTTATTCATTGTTTTTAGTGAGTTTCTTCTTCCATTCGGTGTTCAATCTAGTTCTTTATCCCTTTATTTGATGCTCAGGGTTCTAGGGACATCTGTCTATCTCTTTTACTTGTTTTTTTGGGTCTTTGCTGCAGAGGGATGGTGTGGTGTGTCTGACTAGTCCGCCAACTTGGCTTCTCCAAAATTGATTTTTTTATTGCTCAAAAACCAAATACCAAATCATGATGACCCTGCCAAGTACTGCCTTCCTATTAATCTGGGCCTGAACATCCAGTTAATCTTCTTTATCATTTTTCTCCTTTTCTTCAACAGCATTCTGTTGGATTTCCTCCAGAATGTACCATGATGGATCAGCTCAACACCTCCAACAATGACAGTAACCCCCTTGTATTATTTAGCAGGCACTGTGCTACTTTATATGGAGCCCTGGTGGTGCAGTGGTTAAGAGCTATGGCTGCTAACCAAAAAGTTGACAGTTTAAATCCACCAGCCGCTCCTTAGAAACCCTATGGAGCAGTTCTACTCTGTCCTATAGGGTTGCTATGAGTTGGAATCGACTCAAAAGCAACGGGTTTGGTTTGGTGCTACTTTATGGAACCCCTGGGTGGCACAAATGGTTAAGTGCTCGGCTACTAACTGAAAGGCTGGCAGTTCTAATCCACCCAGAGGTGCCTCAGAAGAAAAGTCTGGCATCTACTTCTGGAAGATCATAGCCATTGGACTATGCTATAGAACGCAGTTCTACTCTGACACACATGGGGTTGCCATGAGTCAGAATTGACTTGACAGTAACAGGTTTGGTTTATTTTTTGGTGCTACTTTCATATATTATCTCTTTTCATCCCCACAACAATCAGTGAGGTAGGGACAATCATTTATCCCCAGTTTACACTTGAGGAAACTAAGGCTCGGAGAACTTAACTTATCCAAGGTCGCCTAGCTAGTGAGTAGTAAAGCCAGGATTTGACCCCGTTCTGACTTCAAAGTCTACATTTTTATCCATTATTGATTAATAAAAAGTTCACCAAGAATGCAACAAGATACGTATTTGGCCACAGACTGGTGGCTGGTCTCTAGGTCTCTATGTTTAAGGAACAGCTGGAGGGATGAGCAGAGCAGGGAGGGGCAAGGGGATGTCTTTAGTTAAAATGGGTGGCTATCTTTGCTTGAAATTGTCCGGTTATTTCACATACCACTCTTGTTGCTAGCCAATTCACTTCTGTCAGAAGGCTTTCCTGTTAAAATGAAGCCCAGGCCCTGCCTCCCTCATCCTTGAGAAACACCTCAGGAGAAACAACCTTGGCCCTCAGAGGCAGCTCCCACAAAGCCTGGCAACACCCCTAGCCCAGCTGCATGATAAGATAAGATGTGCCCAAGAGACCTGGGGAAAGAAGCCAGCCTGGTGACGCTCTCCTGCTCCCTCAGTGACGTCTGTCCACAGTAGACACTGTCCCTCCAGGGACCCAGGACTCAGCCAAGAGGCCTCTGGTTTTAGACCAGCTCTATGGAGCTCTGATAAGGAGCCCTGGTGGCACAAGTTAAGCACTTGGCTACTAACCAAAAGGTTAGCAGTTCAAACCCACCAGCTGCTCCGTGGGAGAAAGATGTTGCAGTCTACTTCCATAAAGATTATAGCCTTGGAAACCCTATGCGGCAGTTGTATTCTGTCCTATAGGGTCGCTATGAGTCAGAATCTACTTGATGGCACACAACAACATGGAGTTCTGATAGCACTTTCCTTCCAGAAACTCCTGCAATCAGAATTGCCCCCAACCCTCTGCCCAAGGGAGCAGACAAGTCAGTGTTTGGTCCTGGATGGCAGGGTCTTAGCAGTGACGACTGAGAGAAAGAAAGGGCCTTGCATCAAAAGAGTCTGCACCCTAGATTGTTGACGTGTGTGGATCTGGGCATTATGAGTGTGACTGGGCTATTTTTGCCCCAGCAGAACGCTGTCAGCAAGCAGGAGGGGAGGGGAGGTGCTGCAGTGAGTTGTGAAATCTAGGCACTGTGCAGCCTTGACCTTGCTGAGGGCTGGGGCCCCAACACCATCTAGGACCTAAAACTGCCCTTATTATTGGGTCACAAAAACCATGTGCAGCTGAGGAGCCCTAATAATCCCGACATCCAGAGACAAGAGTCAGAGAAAGTAGGGACCATTTTGCTATTTTGAAAAGATTCCAGACTATGAATGCACTGGGCTTGCCTCCCAACCAGAAACACAGGGTGTCATCCTCAACATCCAACCATTCACCAAGTCCTGAACTTCCTTAACCTCTCTTTGGGCGGTCCCGTGTCCATACTTACTGCCCCTGCTGTCCTTCAGAGTTGCAGCATATCTTCCCTGGACTCCTGCAATAATCTCTTGATTCCCTCTGCTCCAATTCTTCCTTTGTGCTGCATCCATAGAGATCCTTCTAAGATGCTGCTGTAAGAATGTCACTCATCTGAGGAAAACCTTATTGCTTCCCACTGCCCTCAGGATAAAGTGTAAGCACCTTAGAGGGCCATTCCTGATCTGTCTTCCCCCTCCTCCCATACCCAGCACACACACCTCCAGCCTTATCTCTGGCCCCTCCTGCCTTCTGCCTTCCAGGCACATCCAAGGCCTTTGTCCATATTCTTGAGCTTTGCGCCCTCTGCACCCTCCCTGAGATTGCCTCTCCAAATAGAATCCAAATAGAGTGGGCCTGGGCAGGCCACTGCCTCCCTTCATGTACTAAACAACTATTACTTGTCAGCAAGCGCCAGGCTCACACCAAGTTTCCTACTCCACAGGAGCTCACAGTGCACTGAGAGAACACACTAGTCATCAGATGGAACGTGTCATGGAGGAGATAACATTCCTAAGGGAAGGAAGAACTCCCTGGGTGGATGGTGATGGTGGGGAGGGGGCACAGAGGGCATTCCACACAGTGGGGACAGGATATTCAATCACTGAAATGCTTATGATCCTCCAAGCCCTCTCCCTCCCTGGGCACCAAGGCACTGAGGTAGGGAGGGGCAGGCTGTAGCACTGGGAAGAGGTGGTGAGATGGAGAGTAGCCAGAGGCCAAATCACAGAGCATCAGACTAAGACCAGAAAAACCAGGCTTCTATCCCAGGTCTAGAGTCCCTAGGTGATACAAACGGTTAACGTGCTCAGAAAAGTTGGAGGTTTACATCCACCCAGAAGTGCCTCAGAAGAAAGGGCTGGTGATCTACTTTTGAAAAATCAGCCATTGCAAACTCTGTGGAGCACAGTTCTAACACACATCGCATCTCCATGAGTCAGAATCATCTTGATGGCAACTGTTTTTTTTTTTTTTTTTTTTGTGTGTGTGTGTGTGTGTGTTTATCCTTGTGTTAGAACTTTACTAGTCAGGTTGCCTTAAGAAAGTGACTTCACTTCTCCAAGGCCCACTTCACTCATCCTTAAAATGCAGCCTCACCTTGTGTCCTTTGGCAGCTGTGAAAATTTTGTAAGATAGCACATGTGCAAATGTTCTGTCCTATACAATCTAAATATTTGACACCCGTGGGGCAATTTCTGCTGCTAATTGATAACCAGAGTTGTTCCTGCCTATGGGGCTCAGTATGGGTTCAGCCTATCTGCATTCTCCCAGGCCTCTGAGCCTGTTTCCTGCACATGGTGGCAACTTCACCTGGATCCACACCTGAATGTTTACAGCCCCAGCCTGGTAAGCTGACTCTTGACTCCTCACTCTTCCTTTTGTTGGCCTGGCTCAGGACTCTATTCCAATTCCACTAAACCCTGACAAAGATTCTCCACAGGAAGAATTGAGCCCTCCCTTCCCCCCTCCCCCACAGTTTTTTAGTAGCAGGATTAGAAACTGTCCCCAGGCACCTACTATTTCCTTTTGGCCTTGTTTATCCCAGACTTGGTATGGGTCCCTCTCATCGCTGCCAATTCTATGGCTGTCCCTAAGTAAGGGTTAAAGTCTTAGAGCTGGGCGGGTGAGCATCTTCAATCCAGACCTCAGCTCCTCTCCCCACAACCAACCAGTTGCCATCAAGTTCACTCTGACTCATGGCAACCCCATGTGTGTCAGAGTAGAACTGTGTTCCATAGGGTTTTCAGTGGCTCATTTTTCAGTAGATTGTCAGGCCTTTCTTCTGAGGCACCTCTTGGTGGACTCAAACTTCCAATCTTTTTGATTAGTAGCTAAAGGACTTTAACCATTTGCAGCACCCAGGGACGTCTCCCCACCACAAGAGCCCCGGGAATGGTGTCCTCCAGTAGGCAACTGTGGTTCTCTCATGCAGGTGGGGTCTTAGAGGTCTGAAGATCACTGCAGGGGGCAGCCCCAAGCCTCGATCTCTATAGGCCAGTGCAGAGGGCACAGAGAGGCATCAGGCCGTTAGGAAAAGGGCACTTGATGGGAGCTATGGCAACTGCGTTCTGGTTTCGGCACTGCCTGGCTGGGTGACTAGGTCCGTTGCCCTCTCTGGTTCTCAGTTGCCCCATTTGTAAAATGAGAGGGCTGGATGCAGGGGCTGAAACTGATGCCCTGCTGGCAGATGGCAGCATATACAGTTGGAAATTGAATGCCTTTAGGTGGCGCTGGCACTTCCCAGTGAGAAGCAATTCCCACCACTTCCACCACTGGAGGCATCTGAGTTTATGTTCTTTGCTGCTCCCTAGACCTGGCCCAGGTCTGTGGCTTTTTTGGCACCATTATCTCAGTCACTGGCCCCAAAGGGAAGAGTTGAGTCCAAAACCAGATCAGGCTAGGTTATCTCACCTTCTGGAGGCCAACCTTAGCCCAGGATGCAAACGATGAAACAGTCACTGGGTTTTCCAAGGCCTGTGGTCCTCTTGGCAACAAGAATTCCTTAACCTTTGTCTCCTGCTCTTACTTGGTAGGCAGGGCTGGCTTCATGAGTGTGTGACCTGTGCAGTCACACAGGGCCTGCTCAGAGGGCCTGGTGATGAGAAGGGCCTTGCACTTGGTTTAATGCTCTGCTGTTGCTGTCTTAAAATTCTTAACAAATTTTAAACAAGGGGCCCTGCATGTACATTTTGTACTGGGCCCTGCAAATTATGTCCTCCTAGTGGGTTACACTGATATTTGTTCAGAAACCTTTTCTTCCATTAGGGTATTGGGGGAGCCCTGGTGGCACAGTGGTTAAGAGCTCGGCTGCAAACCAAAAGGTCGGCAGTTGGAATCCACCGGCTGCTCCTTGGAAACCCTATGGGGCAGTTCTACTGTGTCCTATAGGGTCTCTATGAGTCTGTGGTTGTTGTTTTAACATTTTTTTTTTTTACTGCGTATTTTCACAGAAGGAAAATTGGAAAATATTTTCCAATTTTCCTACTGTGAAAATACAGATAAAGCAAAAAGAAAAGAACATCTGATATCCTACGATCTAGAGATAATTCTGTTAATATTTTAGTCTATACCCTGTCAGAATTATCTATGCATGTAAATTTTTTTTTAAAATAGCATAATACCATCACACTGTTTTGTAACCTTATTACTCCCACTTTTAATAGGAAATACCATGAGGTCCCAGGTCACGCAGCTATTAAGGGACAATGCTGGGTCTTGACCCCAGGTATCCTAACTCCAAGGCCAGTGTCCATATCCCTAAACCAGGCTCCTGCTCAAACTCCAAGTGGGGCTAGAAGGATTACTGCTTCCATTTTATGGCTATGGAAATGGAGCTCCAACAATAAAGAAGGATTGGCTTTAATTGGGCTCAGGGGAAAAGACCCCGAAACTGTCTACACCAATTCTGGTATCCCACAGCTCCGTATGGGTGAGGCTGTGTCGGGCTGGGCTGGGCTGGGCCTGGCTGCTCAGGAGTTCCCACCTCTGCAAAACTGGACTTTGCCTTGCAGTAAACAGTCACAGGAATGACAGGGGTAAGCTGTCAGGCATGGGGCACAGAGGGAGCGGTGCCAGGTGGCAGGATCAGTCTGTATGGGACTGACCCCGGAGAGCAACTGGATATCTGTTTGGTGGCCTTGGAGGGCACACACTTTTTTGTATTTTTAGAAAGAGGGTGAGCACCCAGCAGTGACCCTGACAACTGCCTCGTAACCCTGGGGCACTGCGCTGTGCTGTATAAAAGCTGCTTCCAGCCTGGATCTGGGCCAGTGGCTAATGGCAAGCATTCATTCATTCATTCATTCCTGAGCACACACTACTAGCCAGGCACTGTGATAGGCACTAGAAGAAATACTTCCCCAAGACTCTGGCCTTCCAGAGAGGTGGCAAAAGAAGAAGAGCTAGCAGAGGCAGGCAGAATAACACAGCAGTTAAGAGTTTGGGCTCTGACCCAAAACAGACCTGCTTTCAAATCTTGACTCCTCTGTCTCCTACTGTGTGACTTCAGGCAAGTTAATCTCTCTGAGTCTCTCTCATAGCATTGCTATAAAAAGCAAATGAGGTAATGCATATAAAAGCACTTAGAAGAGTGTCTAGAATATAGTAAGTGCTGAATAAATGCAGTTATTAAAAGAGAAGCTGTACATTTGGAAGAATTCTGTAGCTTGGGCTGTTGAACATGTTCAGCATCCATGGTGAATCTAATTCTAGACAAGGCCTTAGGGTTTTGGCTAGAACTGGCCTGGGACTTACACAGCATTTTTGCTGAGAGTTCTGCTGAGTTTGACACTGGTTCTGAGCTTGCCCCAGCTCATCCCTTTCATTTGTATAGACTAGAATATACACTAGCCTCTCACAATGACTGGAGAGATGGGTAGGGAGAAGGGGTGGCACCCCTTCATTTTACAAATTAGGAAATTGAGAAGCAGTGAGTTGCATGACCTTCCTGAGGTCATGGAGGGAAGAAGTAGATTTCAGGCTCAATTCAGATCCCCTGACTCCAAGTGCAATGCCATCTATTCACGGTTCATTCAATGTTGGTTTTCCCCAGACACTGGCCCAGTACACAAGAACCGCTGCTCAGGGTGCCGGCTTGGCTCTGGGAGAATGTGTGTTTTCCCTCCTTCCTAGCCACATTCAAATCCTGGAGAAGGAGGAGAGGGCCGCAGTGTGAGAAGCTGGGCTGAGTCAGCTGGGCTGGGAGGAGGGGAAGGGGAGATTCCTAGGGCTGGGGCAATCTAGGTAGGCTGGTTCTGGGCTGAGGCCCCTTTGGATTGACTAAGGTTACTAGGGGGCAGCTGACTCAGGGCTGGGACACCAATCAGAAGGGGCCCCTTGAGGGCACTTTTCACTCTGGCTTTGATCCCTGGGTCTCAGTGCCCCAAGAACTTCTCTATCTTGATCTCACCTGTCCCTGGAGCTGCAGCTGGGCTTCTTCCAGTGAATGTGACAGCATCCCTTCCTCATCTGTAGCCTGCCTTATCTATGGCCAGGGTCCAGAATGCTGCTGACCACAGGGACAGTGGCATGCATACACACACACAACTGAGAATATGGTGATTCACTGAGGGGACTCAGAAATCAACCAGGCCCCAATAAGATAGTCATTTACTGGCATTCTCAGAAGGTTCAGTGTAAGAGGTTCATGGAGCCCATGATCCTGCCTGCTAAGACCCTTCTGAATGAATACCAAAACAAAAAACAAACAAACAAAAAAACCCAAAAATCCAAACTCATTGCCATCAAGTTGATTCTGACTCATAACAACACTAAATAGGACAGAGTAGAACTGCCCCATAGGATTTCCAAGGAGCAGCTGGTGGATTCCAATTGCCAATCTTTTGGTTAACAGTCGAGCTCTTAACCACTGTGCCACCAAGGCTCCCTAAATGAATACAGTGGGTGACAAATGCTTTGTCCACTCATCATTCATTCATTCAGCATGCCAGGCTATGTGCCAGGCTCTGGGGTACAGCAGTGAACAAGACAAAGTCCTTGTTCCCAGGAAGCTTATCTGGTGGAATGGAATGGGAAGATCTTTTTATCTCCCTATACACTTCATTCCCTGCTAACCCTTGTCATTTTAGGGAATTAGAGGCATGGAGATCTAGGGAAGGCAGAGATCACTGTTGTATCCTAGATGCCTAGCACATGACAGGGGCTGAAAACATGTTTTTGGAACTGAACTGAATAGGAATCTTGGCAGGCTCACTGCAGGGCTGGGCGGGGTGGGAAATTCACCACCTTCCCTTTTTCCCATCTCAGTGTCGATGTAATCAGCTCCTGAGGTCTTCTCACCTGGACTCGAGCCAGAGGTTGTAGGCACAACTCATTGCTGCTTATTCTAATTGCCTTAAATTCCATGGAAATAATTCTCACCTTTTGGAAACGTATAATCTAGTGGGGACATACAAAACTCATACACACTGTCCTGTGGAATGTTGAGATTTTGCTCTATAATTAATTGTTCGAAAAGTCATTTTCACTTACTTGTGTTTAGGCTTCCTATCTAGATTCCACCACAAAATCTAACGTAAATTTCTACAAAAAACAAGAGAGGCTCAGTAAATGTTCCTGAGCAGCAATATGAAAATGACCTAAGAATAAATGTATCAGACCCTTGTAAATAGACACATGATTAGCAACAGCTGGGCAGCACTGGGCTCTAGGGCGACAGGAGCTACTGGAGTATGCCGGCTGCTGGTGTGAAATACGTGTCTTGACTTAGCCACTATTTTGTGGAAAGATCTAGATATATTCCCATAAATACTTTAGATTAGTCCCCACCTTTGAGGGGTTTACACAGCTTATGCATCCAGTGATTAAGTGTAATGATTAAGGACACG